TCTTTTTAGGATTGTCTTTCATCAGTAGTTATTATACTCATTTTGCATTTTGTTTATGCTATAGGTTTTTATTATTTAACTGTCTTTATGCATTTTATAATTAATCTTGGTATTTTATTTATTTGTCTCTATGTGAAGCACTTTGTCCTTTGTTTTCATAAGTGCTCTATAAATAAAGTTATTTTTCTTATTATTATTGTTATTTTTATTATTTAATGCAGCTACAAGGACATGATCCCTCACTGGCTTCCCACTAGTAAAAACTGTCAGTTGTGTTTGTTTGATAGCATGAAACAAACAGAGTTTGAATCTCTGTCTATGCTCTGATGTACCCCTCATTTTCTACTTTATGAATTAAAACTTTTGTAAAGCAGTATTGTTTTAAAGGAACAGGACACAGGAAATGGACATTTTGGGAAATATGCTAATTTGATTTCTTGCAGAGAGATAGATGAGAGGATCGATACCACTCTCATTTTGATCCATTAATTATGAAGCTACAGCCAGACATTTAGCTTAGTCTGGCCCATACCTACCCATAAAATGTTTTTATATTTCAATATTGTAAACAAGGTGTAACTTGTTGCTAGCAAGAAGATGAATTAGTGTATCTTCCAAAATGCTGAACTATTACTATTAAATGAATATTTCTATTAACCAGTTTTCAATGGCAATTACTCAAACAAGCTTTTCAGAATTTACAATGTCACTTTTTTATACTTTCACATACAGATAGTTACACAAATTCTTTATCATCAGTATTTCCTGTATAATATATAACTCTTGAGAAAACTGGAGTGATTTTTGTGACATTTTAGGGCACATCTTTTGACCTCTTTCTGACTCCACTCCACCCCTTCACATGCACACGTTTTTACCCCCTCAGGGTGAGAGTAAAGGGGCTGGCTCCATCTCTCATTAACCTACTGGTTGCATAAATCAAAGTGCAGACCAGAGAGGAGAACCTCAGCCTCAGCCATTCAGATAAGAAGAACACCCTACACCCGCTCATAGCCTACAGCCCAGTGATGTATAGATCTGCAGAGGCTAATAGCAAAGTATTGACAGGGAAATGGTGTGCTTATCCTGCTCCTGCATGCTGGGGAGAGACCCCCAAAGCAGATGGGACACACTTTAGGGAGAGAGAACGAGGAGGAGGGTGAAAGGATGAGGTATAACTGTACTGGGACAAATTAGAGTGTTTATTGCTTTTTTTCAGCGAATCTGTCTCTGAGTCTACAAACACACAACAATAGATTTCTGTTAACCCTATGTTTAAATGGCTGTATTTTTGTCTATATTAGTGCTTATTTTCTACTTGATCTAACTGGAGTGAATATCTACATTCATTTTAAAAGTAAAAATGTTTTTATAAACATTGTACGTCTTACATTTTATCCCCCCCCAAAAGTTTGAGAGTTGTAGAGGTCCTCAAAAGTGTAGATTCATTAAAAATAGTATGTTCAAGAAAGCAAATATCCTGTTTACAATTAACATCTTCAGATTTAAGAAGTTAGGAAATGAATGTCCAAAGTTTTGTGTGCGTGTGTTTTAATGCCTGAGCATCAAATCACCTATGACCCTTTGTAGGCAAGAAGATCCTTAGTATTTTAACCTCTCCATGTCAATCCATGGAGATATATTCTTCATGCCTGCACACAGAATACGGCCAATAATAAATACAAAATACACAGGATTACAGCCAGCAATACTCTTCTCTGACAAGAAGCAATAGATCAAGATGTAGGCCGTCCTCCCACTAGTCTTTAATACTGGAGTCAGTAGGTTATCGCTGTCTGGCCTGCACCTTGTTCTAAGTGCCAGCTTTATCAAGCACAACCAATTCTTCCTCTGATGTGGCTGTGGATGCAGGAGATGGGCCCTAATGGCAACACTTCATCAACCTCAGAGAAAATGTCCAGAGAAACAGCAACCTCTGATGTCAGATAAAGAGGTTGATACTGTTCAGTTACTGGACCACCAGGGGTAATTTGGTTAAAGGCTGCAGTACACCGTTGCTGGAGTAGTTGAGAGCTTGCAACTGCCAGCTGACATTCTTAGAGACGGATTCAACAATACAGAGCCTGTCTGACATACACACACAAGATTTACTGTATGAGCTGAGAGGGCTGCTATCATTCAGACAGGGACAAACTGTGTCCTGGATGATGTAATTTCCTACTCCAGTGTTATAGAGGGCGAAAGTGAGTTTTGTTTTGGAGTGTCATCTGGAGACATCACAATACCACTGTACGACCACCAGGGGACAGACAGGCTAACCATGATTGAATGAATGAATAAATGATTGAATGTGGAATCTGAGATAGATGCTGACTTCCTGATTCCACAAACGCAGTTTAGTACCTTACACCAACAGTCAGTGTCTAAAAACACACGAGGAAGAACACAGGCAAGTTAATAAAAATGCTACAAAAAAATTGCAACATGGTTTTGAAATGGAATGGTCTACACTCTGAATCAGGTGGTGTATATACTCATGAGATGATGCAAAACAATGCACTCAAAACTTATGTTGTTGTCAACTCTGGAATATAATGAGCATGCATCTGCATCAATGAGCACCAAGGGCAAAGACAATGCACCATCCGACTCTGCCAAATGCCTTTGTTGCTCTAAAGGACACCGCATATGACCATCTTTACATCTGGACGCCAAGCACTGTACCGGGGCCTGTCTATGATCGTGATTACCCAATTGACATCTTTATAGCTCCGTGGCAGACATCCTCTTCGGCAGATCTAGAGAGGGAACTGCAGAAAGCCAAAGAGGCCCCACAGTGCTGGTGTGAGACATCAGAGTTTTGTGTTGAAATAATTAGTCTGTTTAGCTGCCATCTGGGCTCTGGTTGCTGGCGTGTGGCATAAGCCAGGTGCTTCATGGGTAATACCACAGAGAGACATACAGCAGATGCTCAGAGCTGCCCACCTTGGCACAGATCTGGAATCAGCTAACCCCCATACAGTTCTGAATTAAAACCACAAGAGGAAATTCAGACAGGACTGGTTTGAGGACAGTTCCTTGAAGCATTCTCATTTAAAGGATTTTAAGCAGTTACAATAATTTGTCCAGACAAGTGCAGTGACATCTGCATGAAGCAAAAAGTGAACTTTACGATTCTGTTAAGAATAACTCAGCAACTTTACAATCTAACCCAGCAAAAATCTATGAAACTGCATTCTGCTCAGAAGTGAATCTGCGATAACCCCACTCCATCCGACATAAAACACAAGCCAAACAAACCAAATAATCAACACTCTTATCTTTAAAAAGCAGGTGCCATTTAATTACTGCCTTGCCCCTATGCAACTCAAAATGTAGAAGATTTAAACTTTTTTCTGAGCAGTTCAGTAGCCCAGTAACTTGATAAGGCCCCTGGATTTACTCGATGAGGTAGAAAGTTCCTGAGCAAGCAGCAGGCATGTGGTTGTTGTTCCCAGAGGGCTGGGAAACCGTATCTGCCCTGGAGGAGCATCCTCTTTGGTAAGCACTTCTTATCCAGGCCATCACTGCAGGCCGATAACGGCAGGGTAATATCCAGTAACTGCAGCTTTATGTGCGATCCAATACTTGGATCAATCCCTAAGACAGGAGGATTGCCATTAACCCCTGAGATCTCCCTCTATTTCCCTCTTGTTTCCTCTGTCTTCTAGTGAATCTTTCCTTCTTTTGATACTGCAGCAGAAATCATGAAATCATTGTCGAGAGGGAAAAATTACGCTCTCTCTCTCTCTATATATATATATTTTTTTTGTAGCAGGAGGGAAGAGCACTCGTCTGTTTCACACAAAAAAAAAGGTAATAGGTCAGAATCTGTGTTGTCTTGTATCTCACAATAAATTGTTTGTTTTATCATTTATCTCGGATCATCTTAAAAACACTGTGTACATGTTAGTGTGACTATATTACAGTATGTCCATGTGCAGGTGTGCATGTGTTCTTTTTGTATTGGGAGGTCAAACAAAACATAGGCTTGTATTTCTATATCTACAGTATGATTCTGATGTGTGTGTGCACGTATGCTTATGTTTGAGTGTGTGTACGTGTAGAGAAAGCTAGAAAGACAGTTATAAAGAGAGATGGTGTGAACAGGAAAGAGACAGTGGGTTTGAGACTTTGTTTGAAACTCCCAATACTTTGGGGAGTATTGTCCCATATTTTGTCCCATGTGAGTGAGCAGAAGAAAGATAGACTGAACCAAAGGTATGTAGCTCTTGCAGAGAATTTCTCTTGCTCTCACTGAATATAAATGGATAAATAGTCACTGAAATTAGTTTAACGTGCAATGCTACTCTCATAAAAAAAATGGCGTTCCATGCTACAAAATGGGCGTCATAGGTATTGTTCAGAGGGGACACTATAGGTAGATATTCATCGAACAAAATCACAAACATCTTAAGATATGAATATGGATCACTGCAGACGGATGCTATTTTCCTATATTATTTAAATGTATATATTATAAATAAATTACAATATAAATTTTGGGTGAATGGCAGACATGCATTTTTGCTGTCATCACTCCAAAATTAATCTAGACTAAGACTAATCTAAAAAAAACTGTGACTTAAGCTTGCATTATGCAGGTGGGATAAATCCACTTAATATATGCCATAAATTCCACAACAGAAATTGTCAGATCATAAATGATTTAACTAGAGAATCATTTAGGCATTACTAGTGGGAAAACTAAATTAAATATAATCAAACAAATGGATTATATTGGAAAAAGATACTCCGATTGACAGTTTTGAAATATTATGCTGCGTATGTCACATTGGTATTCCTACAACCTTTAGTGATTGTTATTATTTTTCCAATTATAAAGATTCAAAAAGAGTTGACTCTGTGACTAAAAATTGTATTTTTTTGTAATAAATTAAAAGTTTAGAAGATTTTAGGTAAAAGCATACATAAGCACACATACTTCACAACAGACAAGCAGTTTAAGCCTAATTCAAAGTCTGAGAAGTTTCACTTACCTCCAGTGTTTCTTTTTTTTTTTAGGAGGGTCAAGACCCCAGAGTTTGAAAGCAGGTGTAGAACAGGAAGGTTGAGCGCATCCTCTCTTTTCCGTGCAAACGTCAGAGGCCACAAGGCAGCTAGCTGTGCTTGGCTACATCACAGTAGCAAGCATGGGCGCAAGAGAGCCTTCTGGGTGAGCCGGCAGCCGGTCTGTTGGAAGAGTTGGTCAATCAGCCCCGGCAGCAGAGACAAGGGGACAGGCACACAGGGAGAAGGGCTGAGTCGGAGTGGGCTCTGCTGGAAGGCTTTTTCGCCTCTCCTTCCCTGAATGAAAGCAATCCCTAAGAGTGAATGGGTAATGAGAGACCGGCTCCTGAGATTTTAGCTTTCTTAATCATGTTCATAATTAATTCAAGAACATTGATAATTTCATTACATTCTTTTTGTCTTATCAATAAATGATGTGCCTGCACTTTTGGTCTTGTGTATACGGGAGAGAGGGAGGAGGAGAGGGAGAGAGAGGGACAAGAGAAGTAATACTGCACTAAAAGCACAGGAGATGGAAAATGATACAAACAGGGAAGTGGTAATTATAATCTTTGACCAAGCCACTGGCAGCACAATATGAAGTCAAGTGGCTACAAATAATTAATAAGGCCTCCTGGTGTGTGTGTGTGTGTGTTTTGGGTGGGTGGGGGGGGGTTCTGACAAATGTCTTTGTTGAACATTATTTCACCAGCCCTCTTTAAGGAGCTGTTTTTACAAAAAAAAACACACACAATACAACTATTAAACATCATTGTGTTTTCACCAACATGATGTTACACACACTGCTGTTAGTTAGTTACTAATACACTCATCTTTAATCCTCACCTTTAAACAGAGGCTGTGGAGGACGTTGGTCTTATAATGCCCTTAGATCCAATAAGGGTTCAGGTTTCGGGGACATTAGTGCATTGAAGAGGTTTTTAAAAGACCATTCTCCTCCCTCCCCTCTCTCCTCCACACGTGCCCTCTGTCAGGTCAAGAAAGAAAAAAGATGAGGACCATTTTCTGTCTTGTGGCATATTTAGTTTCCACTTATTTGGCAGCAGGAATAATGAGATAATATGCATTTTTAATAGTTCATCTTCAGAATATTCAATAACCCTTCACCTCTGTGCATAGTGTTATAGATTCTGTGCTTTATCAATCGAACATTCTGTTCAAAACTGAGCTGGAAATAGAATGAGAAGGAGGGAACAGGGAGGGAAAAAAAGTTGTAATGGATATCTCTGTTTCCTAAAAATACTGTGAGGATGATGGAGTCTGAGGAAGGTTCTGAATCACAGCATGCTCTTTTGCTCCAAAACAAGGCAAGTAGATGAATTTGAGCAGCCTAATCTAACAGCGAGGGATGGTCTGCTCTGTCAAAGGTCTAATCTGCTAGCAAAATAGTGGAGTAGGCTGTTTATTCTGATCAGACTTTCTTGATAAGTCATCAATCTATTGCAAGATGGGTATTTAAAGCAGCACTGAGACATGTGTTGTGGGAGTTTCTCACTGGACATTCCATCTTTTTTTTTATCAATTACCATAAAGACTTCATAGATATCTCCTGGATTTAATGTGTGTTTCAAAATAATTGGCCGGAGAATCAGGGTAATTTAACCATAAGAGCAGTGCAGTTGCAGTATTGCAAGGCTATTTGATTTTGGTCACTTTCTAATGGATTTCCAGTTTGTGACACACTACAATATAGATTGGTAAAGCTATATGAGGCATTAGAGATTCAAGTACTTTATGTCCTATTTATTCCTTATGTGCCACAGGCCCCGTGTCTTGAGATATGACCAGCTCAACACAAGAAACCTTTAATAAAATACAAAAGTAAAGAGGGGAAAATAGAGATTTACAGCTGGCCATTTTGACAGTGGACTTGATATAAGGTGTTCATAACAAGTTTTGCATTTTATTCCTGGTCCCCTCACACACATTTTAATCATATTTTATGTGATCTATGTATGCAGCACTCATCCTCTTTCTGTCACCCAACCTCTCCAATGTGTCCCTCTCAAACAGATTGCTACAATACTTGTAATGATGGTCCTTCCCAGCTGTGCTGCAAGAGAGTGGAAGGGAGCAGCAGGCTATAGTATTACCATAATACCCGCTCCCTCCCTCCATTGTCCCAAGGGCCCATGTGGGGCTGCATGGGGATGTGGGGTAACTCTGCTGTGGAGGGGACTCAACTGGCTGCCGGTCCTGCAGTGTGTGTGTGTGTGTGTGTGTGTGTGTGACTGTGACAGGGCTGAACCTGCCTGTGGGCGATGTAATAAAAGCTCCACACACTGCTGGTAGTGATGGTGGCACTGCTGCTGTAGCTGCAGAGGAGGGGATAAATATAAACCAGGCCCGCATCAAGGAGGCGGCCCTCCAGTCACAGTCTGACTTACATCCTAATAATTAGGCCCCTTTCCAATAAAACAAGGATTTGTAGCCATGCATCTATTTTACTCGTGCTTGCTACTGCATTGGGGGGGGGGGGGGGGGGTCTGATCTGCTGCAGTCTCTGGATAAAACTGAGAGGATTTAATTTCAGCAGTGTTGGAAAGTCATCAGCAACATTTGCTCAATTTGCTTCTTGATGTTTATATATTTATATTTTCAAATTTTGCACAATTTCTCCATTAAGCTGTTACGATGAAATTTCAATTACTTAAAGGTATTTTTCAGCTCATTCAGTCGTATGAAGCATAGTCTTGAATTGGCACACAAACACTGGCGCACACAGACTCTACTGTCTCTGATAGTGGCTAATCAATAGATGAGGCCTGTAGGTTGCCGTTGCATGTTGTCTTAAAGCTCCTAATGTGCACTGGCTAATCTTTTTACTCTTATACTCTCTCCCCAACATTGCCTCTTTTCTCTGTGTTTTGTTCTCTTTTGTCACATTTCAAATACACAATTGGATATTCATTATTTATGCGTTAGCATAGAAAATAGGTGACTATGTCTAAATATTTTACACTGTGTGTTTCAAACATCACCTTCTCTAAACCAGACTGTAGTTGCCTCTATGATTAATACACTGTAATTCCACTATATGGGAACTTGTTAGGCACAATGCTAAAATGCTTCTATTTGCACAGTATATTGTATGTTTTGAACACCCTATTTGTCTTATCATATCTTTAAAAGGCAATCCTTCAAACAGATTTTCCATATTTTGCTCCACCTTTGGCTACCTGGCTGTCATTTCATACCTATCAATGTCACACTGATGTGTGAGAATTTCCAAAAACCACACTGGTGAAGACTAAGAAAAGTAGAAAGAGAGGAATGGAGACAGACAGATAGAGAGAGGCTGAGGGGTGGGGGTGGGGGTGGCTGTCCAGGCAGGGGGTATCAGGCTAATTAAGGCAAGCATTTGTCAGAGATTAAGCCTTAAACAGAAAAGGTCATCTGAGCACCAGAGCGCACTGTTTCGCTGCTGTGCTCTTAGGGCAGTCTAAACCTTTCCAAGCTAAATGGTAAAGATGCTATTTGCCAGAGATGGGGGAGGGGATCCTGATCCGGACCAGTGGTAAGACTGACACTCGGGTCATTGGCTCTTCACTGTCCATTACACATGCTGGTCAAATCTGGCAATCGGTGTCATTTAGGGATGAAAAATAAGTACCCGGACAAGATCAATAGATGCAGCCGTCTGTACCATCTGTGATTAATTGACTGTCACCAATTAATGACTGGCCTGATGTAAAGCAATGCAGTCTTACAGGGGGCAATGCAACTTGTCGGAAAATGGATATATCTTTCATTTCAGTCAGTTATTGTTTTTTTTAGAGTGAGTTTTCCAGTAACAAAGTCATGAACCACTTAATTTACAATTTGCAGGTTTACTATGGCACTCTTGAAAGTCTCTCTCACAGCATTTGCATGCCAGGTGCTCTTTGAAGTCATTTGTGACGAATTTGGGCTTACATGAAAGCTGGTACTGCAAACATATCCACACCGATTTTTTTTTTAGTTCAATCAAAAATGGTTACTACAAAAAAACGAATATTTCCATGTTTGTATATACTGGCTGTTTCAAAACTTTGTATATTGGGTATTATTGTCTTTACACTTGTTAAAGCACTTTGTAACTTGTTTTTGAAAAGTGCTACAAGTACAAATAAAGATTATTTTTATTATTATTATTATATAATTAATAAATTCTCACTATACAGTGATAGTAAAAAGTAACATCATATATAATAATTATGCAAATTAATACTACATTTAACCAACTTTATTTAACTTATCCATTTTAATCGTGTGCATTTACTTCAAACGTTCTCTTAAAACCAATGGTCTTCTGAAAAATGAGTGTTGGCCTGTGATCCATTTAATATTCTGTTGAAAACAACCAAACAAGTACTGGAGATGTTTTCAAACTGGGATCAGTGTACAAGCTCCTTCTGCATTCAGTCAATTCTAATCATATTAGATCCTGAGAAGATGTCCTCGTTTGAGATACAATGAAGCACAGGACATGTTGGTTTAGATATGAGTAATGGCTCTGGAGGGCTAAACTGTGGTGGATGTAATTTGAAATATTTGTAGTGGATATTATGCTAATATTAGTTCACTCTGTATCGTTATAAATTAGATCATTTAATTGAGATGAAGACTTGCAAAAGATTACATTACAATCATCATTACGGGCAGGTTTTTCATGAATAAATGTGCTGTTTGTGGCATCTGAGTAAGGAATTGTCATTTTTGCAGTCATTTCTAGGTTTTTCTATTTGATATTGCTATAAAACATATGGTGATATATCATTCTAAGAATACAACCAAAACAATAAATATGAAAAACCAAAGCTAAACATGTTAAGAATGTACTTTGTTAGTTGTTATTGGGAGCACATTGACCTACAGCAACCTAGTTTACCTACTGAGTAAGTCCTTGTCTGATTTAAGCTTTGCCAGAACTTCACTGTGTAAATAATACGGAGGAGTAGCAGCTATATTTGTTTACAAGCTAATTTTAACCCAAATACAAAGCATCTGCATTCTGCTCTATATCTGCAAGTTTAATATTAATTCATTTATTTTCCCCACATTTATTTGCCAGTATAATTTCTGACATGCAAATCACACCCCAATTTCAGCATCCCTCTGGATGACTTGTAGCTACCTAGATTATTATGGGTAATACAGCTGCCTTGTCCATCAAATCCATGAGTTGACTTTTGCTCTGCAAAATGTTGTAGTTTGTGTTCTCCATTTGCATGGTTGTCAGTGTGTTAGAAAATGTATGATGTACAACTTTCAGCGTAAGGTCTACCTTTAATGTTCACTAATATCAAATCTGTAAATTGTCCATAAAACAAAGTGGTCCATAAAACAGCCTCCTCGCCTTTGGACAGTAACTTGCTGTTCATATTAGCTATTTGAAAGTGTTGGAACATGCAAGTTAAATCAGTTGCAGAAGGTCAATTTAAATTTCAAACTTCTATGCCAGTGCTCAATACTGAAAATACAAAAACACCGGATAAAATAGAAAGTAAAACTTCATGGTGGACTATTTAGACAATGGGTAAACAAAATTCACTGGTGAAAAACTGTACTGCAGACTATAACTTGAAAAGGTAAAACCAATTCCCCAACTTCGATCTATTCTCACCTAAGACAGGGTCTGAAATTATGTTTTTTACTCACCTGCCATAGTGGCAGGCCACTGAACATTTCGATCAGCCACTCAATGTTTTTGTCAGCCACTTCTGAAAACTCTGTACAATGCTTTAGAATTTCAAACACTGAGTCAGTGGTAAGTTAGACAGTAGAAATATGGAATATTGTTGACTTAAAATGTTTGCCTGCCACAGACAATATTTACCCTGTCTTTGGCAGGTGGTTGGTACTAATTTAAGTCCCTGCCTAAGACCTATGAACGTACTGTTAAAATTACATTTACTATCATGTTAATCATACACATTTCTAGTTAATTGTTTTGTTATTTCTTCTCAAAGAAAACACTAA